AAACAAAAGTCCAACTTATAATATCTTCATGGTTATTTTCCCTGTTATCTCAAAGATATTTGCCCCTTTGATTGTTTTATTAGCTGCTTGGTATGCCATTGTGCCACTTACTATGTACGACCATCCCTCGGCTGACATTTAAATTGTCCCCATTAAAAGGTTCAGTGGCTGTCATCGTGAGTAATACTCATACATTTTAATATCCTCACTTTGCAAACAAGAAGACCAGTTTTGCTTTCATGCCCATGATGAAAATTTTTGGCTGGGTAATAAATACAAGGACACAACTGGGGAGACTATTTGAGGCACCATTCTGGAAAAAGGGTATCTGGTCTTCCTCAGTTATGTCCAGAATCATACTGGCCAGGGGGTGCTCAGTATTTGTTAAATAAATGAATGAATGGAATGAATTCTCACTCACTATAGACACTTGTCGGGCCAGCTCTGCCCTCCTCTATAGCAGGATTTCCATTGGAACTTTGACTGGAACACCTTATCATCCTCACTCAAGGCCCTGGACTGAAGGAGCTCCAGACCTTTGTTTTGGGGAAGAAAAAAAGAGACACATGTATTAATAATGGAAGTTGCTTCTCCCATTCCATTGGCCCAAACAACTCCTATGGATATTCCAAACAAATGAGGTGGGAGATTCTAATCCTATTATTTTCTGAGAAGGGGAGATGTCATAAATATGTGGGCAGCATGGATTCTATAAGAGCACATAGTGCTATTGACTTTTAGGAGCAGATAACTCTTTGTGTGTATAGAGGCAAAGGGAGGCTGCCCTGGGCATTATAAAATGCTCAGCAGCATACCTGTCCTCACTCACTACATGCCATTAACATAATTCCAGTTGCAACAATAAAATATCTCCAGAAATTGTCAAATATCCCTGGTGAAAATAACTTCAATGAGAACCACTGATCATGACATGGATTGAGTATATAAGAGTTGTTTCTAAAAATTACTAACTAAGCCAAGAGTGGCAGCACGCCTTTGTAGTCCCAGCATGGGGGTGGAGATGGGGATGGAGATGCAGTGGTGGTGGTGGTGGTGGTGTTTGAGGCAGGAGGATTGCAAGTTCAAGCCTTGCCTGGGCAACTTGAGACTTAGGAAGACCTTCTCTCTCTTGGTTGTAAGGGTCTAGTACCTAGAATGCTGAGTAGGCCACTACAATTTGGAACAAGGTGCCCGGAGGATCTTTTCTAAAAGAAAGTCTTTGCAATTATGAGGCCACAAAGGTTGGAGTCCTGCTGGTTCTCATGTTACCCTCAGGCTATTTTTCTACAGTCTTGTTCCAAAGTACTTGGCTTTTTAATGCTAACGTTTTTCAGCAACCAAATTCTCTGCTCCATCTTTGCAGGCCACAACTTTACTCGGAGCTTCCTTTCTGGCCAGACCCAAAACTTTTTAAATCATCTCCAACAGTAGCCATACCACTACCTCAACATCAGACTGCCTTAAAATTTCTTCTGCCAGATTAATCAGTCCCTTGCCCGTAATCTCAGTCTCCTGCAATGTCTCTGGGCATGAACAAAATGCAGACAGATTTTCTGTTAAAGCATAACACACACGGCCTGGAGTATAACTGCCAATACAGTTCTTCCAAACTGAAACTTCCCAAGACTGGTCTTTACTGGCTGCATTTCTATCAGCCTTCTGGTCTTCTGAGTTCCAACCAGACTCTCCCATCAATCTTGGCCTATAGCATCCTAATGCTGCTTTTCCAGCTGGCATCTCCAATGCTTTCTAAACTCCTTCTGCAGGCTAGTTCCAAAGGCTTCTGAACCACATGGCCAGGTAGTGTCACAGCAACAGCCCCACTTCTTTGGTAACGAAATCTGTCTTAGTTACGTTCTCATTGTGCAAGCACAATACCCAACACCTACGATTTAAAGGAGGAAAGGTTTGTTTTTGGCTCACGGTTTGCAGACATTTAGTCCATTGTCATCTGACTCCAAGACAGGGTGGCACAGCAGAAGGGGATGGCAGAGGAGAAAGAACTCATGGCAAGGTGGACAAGAACCAGTGCCAGCAAGGCAGGAGGGGGGATCTATTTAACCACCTTCCAGGCACGATCACAGGGACCCAGTGGGCTTCTCTTCCTCACATCAGGCCCAGCTATAAACCCATCAATGGCCTAATCCAGCATCACACACCCATGATCCAGTCACCTCGCAAAAGCCCCACCTATGAGCACGCGTGGCTTTAGGGGGCTGTCTAGATATGTCGCAAAACCCTCCAAAGCATTCCCTCAATGACATACATCTTTTAACCAAGCTCTTAACTCAGCAATGGATTGATCCCCTGATGAGTATAGTGCCCCATGAGCCAGTTACCTTCCAAAAGAGCCACCCCTGAACATATGAGACTCTTGGGGAACATTCTAGATCTCAACCATAACACACCTCCTTTAAAATGGATATGTTAGGCCAGGCGTGGTGGCACACGGCTGTAATCCCAGCACTCGGGAGACTGATGTAGGAGGTTTGCTGCAAGTTCAAGGCCAGCCTGGACTACACAGTGAGTCCAAGGCCAACGTGAACTACATAGCAAGACCCTGTCTCAAAAAAAAAAAAAAAAAAGATAAATTATCTTGGAAAGATGATATGTGCCTGTAGTCACAGATACTTGGGAGGCTGAGACATGAAGATTGCTTGAGCCCAGGAGTTTCAGACAAATGTAGGTAATATAGAGAGATCCCCATTTAGGTAAGTAAGTAAATAAACAAATAAAATTGATATATTAATGCTCATCATTAAGAGTTGGGTTCATATGGTTTGAAGAGTATAACTTCCAGCATACATTAAGTCTCTGACATACAAACAAGCTCTGTTCTAGAAGAATATTCGTAAGTTGCACTGAAGGAGTCTTTTACATGAATATACAATGTGAAACACAAAAAAACCAAGCACACATACAACTATACTATAAGTAAACTATTTTTACTTTTACCTTAAAACGGCGGTACAGTACAGTACAACTATAAATAAGCTACAGCAAGTCCTTGACTTACAAATGAGGATATGCAAGATCCACTCATATCTATGAAAGTTTACAACTCAAACGTTTGTAAGTTGGGGACTTACTGTACTGTTAATACTAGATTTTAAAAAGGAACAATGACATCACTCTCTACACATACCTGTTATTATTTCTAATATTCTGTCCCCGATTAGCTTTCATAGTTAAGTCTCTCAATATTCCAGGTATGGAAAAGAAACTTGTCAAATGAAAAAAATGCCCAGTAGATCCTTAAGGGATATTGAGTTGTTTTGGTTTTTTTTTTTTTTTTTTTTTTTTTATCTTTTTGAGACAGGGTCTCACTATGCAGTTCAGGCTGGTCTTAAACTCACTTTGTAGCTCAGGCTGGCCTTGAACTCGCAACAATCCTCCTCCCTCAGCCTCCCAAGTGCTGGGATTATAGACATGCGCCACCACGCCCGGCTCAAGGGATATTGAATTAAATCATCAAAAGAAACCTGCAGTTCAGGAAATGAGCTTGTTACACTTTCGGCAAAGTCATTTTAAGATTAACATTTGCATAGTGACAGGTATGCTTCCCTCTCATAAACTAGGGGAGAGCATTACCGTGAACACAAGTTCGTTGTCAGGCAAACCAATTTTAGGAACGGCTGTACAGAAAGGGAAAACCTGGAAACTGATCTAAAAACCCTTACACAGCCTGGAAGACCACCGTTCTGAGGTAATGCAGTCTAGCGCCGGCAGAGGGCAGTGTTGCAAAGCGGTTGGCTGCATCTCCGCTCTCTCCCGTAGCAGAAAGGACGACTCAGCTCCATGCAGCTAGAACCCAGGGCTCTTCACCATTGCCTCTGCAGTCAGTTACTCATAGGAAAATGGCTCCAACGAGCATGGCGGCTAGACACTCTCCGTGTTGTACCTAGACTCAGAGCCCGGACCTGTAAACAGTTACAACCTCATTCTCCCCTTTAAGAACTAAATTTGGGATAGAAATTGGAGACTGGAATGATGGCGTCTGAATGAACCATAAAGTTTTTGGTTTTTTTCCCTTTTGAAATGAAAACAGCAGTGGAATCGCAACAAGATCTATGTTCGGGAGGCACAGAGCAGGGCGGCTGTCAGCCCCACCGCTGCGGTGCCACTCAGCTGCTCCAAAGGTCAGGCTGAAGACCCCTCCAAACCTGCTTCCCGCCGACTCCTTCCTGGTAGGCTGCCGCGAGGATGACATGAAATGGGGCGGGGACGGGAAGGGTGCTGAGCACACGGATGGCATTCAGACCTCACTCAGGAGTAAGAGCGATGATAGCTGGCAAAGACGATGGTACTGAACTGGCATTCAGCCTGGCATGACTATTTCAATGCTCCACTCATGCCCAAAGAGGAAGAGGTAGTGGTGAAAAATCCAGCTACGTGTTTCTCAGGGTTGTAGGTTTTACAAGCTCAGGAGTTAGAAGGAGAAGCAGCCGGGAATGTGTAAGAGCCGGGCTCCTTGACATTGCTCACACTTGCCTTCCAGGGCTGGTATCTCCGTGTTGACAAGAAGGTCTCTAAGTCTAAAAGAAAGAGTGTGTAGGAGCTGGAGATTTAGCTCAGCGGCACAGCGCCTGCCCAGCTAAGCGCAAGGTCGTGATTTCGATCCCCAGTACCAGAAAAATAAAAAATAAGAGTGTGTGAGACTGTGTGATGTGACCTCCAGCCTCAGAAACACCTGCCTGCCTCCGATATGGAGGTGATGACTTGCCCCATTACACCTATCCTCTCTGAGCTGCAAGGGTAGCAATCAACTAGTCAGAAAAAAGTTGCCAAGTTGAACAAATTGCTTGGGCCAAGACCCTTCCCTCTGCCCCTGTGAAGAAAAGAAGCAGCGGCTGGTTCAGAGAGGGGCACAGAGACAGCCTGGAAGAGATACTTGTCCTTTCACCTGGCGGTTCTCCAGCCCTCAAATAGCTTGTGGGTCCAGTCCAAAAATAAGATCACATGAGGGAGTAAGTACGCAAGTGCTTGTCCTCGGGCTTCCTGTGGGCACGCCATGTCCGCCGCCCTTGCAGGGGCCCAAGAAGGTGGCCTCTCCACCCACTCCTCCATCTCCCTCCCCAGGATCTCAAAGCTGGGAGGCCACCTGCTAGTGTGTGGGTGAGGAGGGTTTCACTTAGTTCTCCCTCGGGGCTCCCTTGGGTTCCATTCGCACTAGGACGGGAGGACAAGTGAATCCAACAGCCTCAGGGGGGATCAGGGCATCGCCTCTTCTTCTTCCTGAAGGACACTCCCTTCAGATGGTGAATGGGAACTCCCTTCCTCCTGCAGCAGCCGGCCTGCGGGCGTCCTGATAGTCCGGTGTGAATGCGGCAGTGTGAGTGCTCTGCTGCGGCTGCTGCCACTGCCCGGAGGGAAAGCGCCCCAGAGCCGAGGCGAGAGGTAAGTGCATCTGTTTCCGCGAGGGGCTGAGGGGCTCGGATTGCTGCAGAGGGCCAGACCATCGCTTGGCCTCACACTTGGGCTCTCCCCCAGCCCCCCTGCTTTCCTTGCTCCTCCCCGCATCTGGGTCTGTAGCAGGTTTGAGGCTACAAGATGGGTGCTGGGGTAGAAAGTTTCCCCAAACTCCTTCATTCAGAGGCCAATTTACTCCCGGAAAGAAGTAGGTAGCTCTAGTTCTGAGCGGGAAAGCAGGAAGTGGTTCCTACCAAGCGAATTATCTTTGCTGAAGAGACATTTACCAGGAAATCATTAGACAAACCCCATTACAGTAGAGCTAATGCTTCATTTTAAAAAGCACTGCATGAAGTAGAAATAAAAGGATGCCGGCTGATTCGTTATTAGGCAAAAGGGAAAAAAACAAAAAATGGGATCTGCAGAGCTTCCCTTCCCTTTCTCTTCCCGACTTCTTAAGAGCCCTATAAACTATGCTTAACAGATCCAAGAACTCCTCATTTCGGTTCAAACGAAGAGGAATAAAATCAAGGACTTGGTAAGCAGAGCAGGGAAAAGGAGCAGAAACACATTTTCCCTCGTGAGCTCCCCTTCCGCACACTCAAGCACAGCGCAGGGTGAGTGTCTGTTTAGGGGTAAGCATGGGGCCACTGTCCCTTGCACCTGCATACTACTGTCCTGGCTACAGAATACCCTAAAGCTGTGGGCTGCAAATACCCAGGCTCAGAAAAACTCAATCAAATTCTAAGTCCCGATTCTTTTAGTGACCAGTTGGAAGGGTCTTGAGCAAAAAGAGGATTTTTTTTTTCTTTTTGGATTACGTCACCCCAAAGCCAGTTTAGGCATAGTAGGTCCAGGTAGAAGATGGTGGCGTTTGAGGCTATCCCTTCTGTCTCTCAGCTTTGCGTTCCCTGTGTCGCTCCGTCTGCAGGCGGGCTTGCTGCTGTGGCGGCAATATGGCCACCAGCAGCCCGGGCCCACGACCACCTTGTCAGTGCAGGTGCTTCCTGTTCCTATGGGCTCTAGCTGATGTAGGGCTCGCTTGCCCTGCAACCAAGGTGGGCGCTGTGCCCCTTCCTGCCTTGGGGGAGACATTTACCAGGAAATCATTAGACAAATCCCATTACAGTAGAGTTAATGCTTCATTTTAAAAAGCACTGCATGAAGTAGAAAATACTTGATCCCCATCCAAACCCACACGGACTGAGAGCCGCAAAGGCTGGTTCCAACATGTTGGCCCAGGAGGAGGCCCTAGGTGCAGGACAGCCAAGGTCAGTGGTTGCCACTGTGCTGCTCTTTTTTGCAGTGGTTTAGATGAAAAGTCAAGGCTCCTCCAACATAGCCCCCTCTTCCCTCCCTCTTACAGCCCACAAGAAGGCGCAAGTGACCCGAAGTTTCATGGGAAGGGTAATTGCTAATGGACAGATGACGAAAAGGCCCCATGCGATGTCATTCCTGGAGACCCCCAACAGTGGGAAAGCCACTGACAAGAAAAGGCTTGGCTCTGGCTCAGTCTCTAGCCGCCTTCTAGGCCCTGACCCGCCTGGACCCCCACATTGCCCGTGCTCACCTGGGTCTTCCATTCCCCTCACCCACCTCCTCTCTCCCGACCCCTGAGCGGAAGACTGGGACGCTGTTCAGCTCTTCCAGATTTTATGCCTTCTCCCTTTCCAAACCTCAGTGGCAGTGACTATCAGGACTGTTTTTCCCTGTTTAAATATTCTTTACAAGTTTCATGATTCTCTGTTTCTCTCGCAACTTGAATTTTACATATGGGGTGGTGAGAATTAAGTTTTGTGGCCAACCCTCTTTGTGGTATTTAATAGGAGATGCCCAATTTAACTGAGTCCAATGAACTGACCCAAAAGAAAATAAGCCTTCCTACACACGATGAATGGCTAGATTGCTTGAGGCCCTTAAGTCCTTCTTTAGAAGCAACATAGTAAATAAGCTGGGTATGGTGGCAAATGCCTGTAACACGGCCTCCATGGGAGGCTGAGACAGAAGGATGGCAAATCCAGAGCCAATATGGGCAATTTAGATGGGCTCAAAGTAAAATAAGCAGGGCTAGAGAGGCAGCTCAGCTCTCTCTGGGTTCAGTGCTCAATACCAAAGAAAGTAGTACAATAACCAAAGCAAACACTGAGCTCAGAATATATGCGGGAACCTTACAGGTATCATCTCACATAATTCTCACAATGAACCTCCCAGGAAAGCGTTGTGAATATTCCATTTCATAGGTGAGGAAACTGAGTTTTAAGAAATGCACAGGTCCTAGATCATGGGAACAGTAAGTGGTCATGTTGGGGTCGGAACCCAGGCACACTTGGCATTGCCTTTGCTTTTCCACTCATAATTCACATGCTTATCAGTATGGTGTCCTACTACCTGATTGTAAAGAGCCTCTTCTGCTGGCTAGGACCCCCGCGTCTCTCTAGGGGACAGTTTTTACTAAATTCTACCCATGAGGGAGGAGTTATATCCCTCCCCAGAGCCATCAAGAATATCAAAGGGTCAGGGATTTCACAAAACGCGCTCTGCACAGAACAAGGTGCCTTTTAATTAAAATGGTATAAGGTGATATTTTGGAAACTGTGTTGGCTTTAGAACTTAAACCTGCTCTTCTGGCCATAACTCATTACTCATGACCATGCCCTCTCTCCTGCCCTTGACCAGGGTGATCACACTGGCAGTTCTCAGACAGTGGCTGACAGGATTTGGTAGGCAACTAACTTCTCATCCTAGAGGAAACTAAAATCTTTACAAAATGCTAAGTTTTTTATACCGTCTGAGCCTGTGAGTCACTGGCCACAGGCCTCTTGGCTGGTATAGTCATCCACATGCTGGTGAAACTCTTCCTCTGGGTGTATCTTATTTATTTGATGCACACAAATTTATTCATATGCTTTAAATCTTCAAAAGAGCAGATCCCATCTGACTTCTGTCATTGCATTTATCTTCCCAGTATCCTCCCAGAGGCTCACAGAGCTAGGAAGGTCCCAAGGGGGAGATGGAAGTGCACTGAGGTCTGGAGGGCCCAAGCCTGCTCCCTGCTCTGTGAGGTTATGATAGGTGTAGAAGAATTCTTTGGCTAAAGCCTGAAGAGAAAAACTACCCCTAGACCTAAGAGAAATGACAGCGTTTGTCCACACAAACACCTGTACATGTGCATTCATAACAGGATTATTTACAATAACTAAACAGAGGGAATGATTCAACTATCCATCAGTGATAAATGGATCAAGAAATAAATGGATAAGATGTGGTACACCATACAATGAAATATTGTTCGGTAATAAAAAGGAAAGAAATTTTGATACATGCTACAACACACAGGAACCTTGAAGATCATATACAAAGGAAAAAAACCCATATTGTGTGATTCTATTTGCATGAAATAGTCAGAACAGGGAAATCTATGGAGACCAGAAATCTATGGAGACCAGGGAAATCTATGGAGACCAGATTAGTGGTTGCTTGGACCTAGCAGGAGCAAGGAGAGGGAAATGACTGCTAAAGGGTATGGGGTTTCTTCCTACATATTCCAGAATGGTAATGGTGATGGTTACACAGCTCTGTGAGAAACCAAAACTACACAACTGTACATTTTTAATGTATGGACAGTATGGCATATAATTGTATCTTGATAAAATTGTTTAAAAACCCAAATCACTACCAGTGGAACCATTAACCCAGTAGCAAGGCTTTGCAGAAGAATGTGGTCTCTGTCTGATCTGATAAGTCCCTGTCTTGTCCCAGAGAGCCTGGCTGTTGGCCATTCCCATAATTCCAGTGGAAAGACTATAGATAGAAAAGATAGGATCCGCAGATTTCTTCCTGAGTCTAAACCACAGAGATTTCTCCCCTCTTTTCTGCATAGAATATTTAATATTTTATGGAATCACTCTTAGTATTCTGCTTGCACTTCTGGGTTTCAAATCCTGCTTCAAAAAGTAATCCCCATTCTAAGATGATAAATCCCGTTAAGTAATGTTTCACTATAATGCTTTCCTTTAGTGCTTTCCTCTAAGGTTTGCCTTTTTTACATTTACACTTCTAATTCATCAGAAATTTAAATAATAACCTGGGATGCAGATTAGTTCTGTTTGTTTTGCCAAACAGCAAGCTAATTATTAACCAGGGGGTGGGGCACCTTGTAACTTCCCAAAATGAAATGTAAAAATGTAAAAATGTGTGTGTGCTTGCACATTTATTTTTCTGGGGAGTAGAGTTATAAATCTCTGTTTTATAACCTGCCTGGTGCTCAGGTTGTCTGCATTCCCATGCATGGACACCAGATACTGAGCTAAAAGCACAGGTGCTGAAGCACATCGGGAAAGTGACCGCTCTTGGGGGAATCACGTGCCCAGTACCTCGTGAGAGCCACACTACATTTTAGGGGTGGGTATCTGCTGAGGCAGAGGACAAGGTGGCTGTCACAGGCTCCCACTTGGGTCTGTGAAGCTTTGGTGTGTTAATCACCAGCTGACAAGTCCATGACAAACCATTCTAGCTGACAAGATTTGAGACCTTCCTGTCACAGAGACTTTGAGGAGGCTTGCAGCCCAACTCCAGGAACTGAGAAACTGAAAAACGAAGGTGGCAGAGCCTCGCATGCAGCCTCACACATCATGTAATGAACATGTATGCAACACCAGCCTCACAATCCACACAGCGAGTCTCAGAGTGCTAGCCCGGACTTCTGCACCTGCCAGAAGTATGTTGGAAATGCAAATTCTTATCCAGGAGGCCCACCCAGACCTGCTGAATCAGAGACTCAGCAGTGTGTAGTTTAACAAACACTTGAGGTAACTGGATGCATATTCAAGTTTGTGAACCACAAGAGCATACAGTGATGAAGAGACAAAAACCCTACTCTCCCCGTGGAGGTCCCCTTCAGTGTGTGTGGTCAGAGGGGCAGAAAGCAAATGAGTTAAGATTTTCTGACTATAATAGTTATCAGACAGTACTAAGTTCTGTGAAGAACAGGAGCAGGGGATGTGAAGGACAATGAGGAGAGGCTGATTTAAAACAGGTGGTCTGGAAGGAGATGGTCTAAGCTGAAACCAGATGGACAACAAAGAGCCCACCATGCAAGGAATCAAGGAGCAGAAAATAGCTGTGTATATTTTGTTGAGAGGGGACAGTAAGTGCAAAGACCCTGAGGTAGCACCAAGCTTGGCATACAAAGAGCAGTATGACTGCAGCATGGTGCACAGGGAGGGGTGGGTAGAGAGTGAATTTGGGGAGAAGCAGGTGGTGCTGGCATGCTTAGCATTTGCTCTTCAGGCAAGGGGAAGGCACTAGACAGTGTTGAGCAAATAGAGATGCAATCTGGTTTACCTTTTAGCAAGCTCCTTCTGGAATGGACTATAGGGGGCAAAGGCAGAAGCAGAGGGACCAGTTAGGAGTACACTGCACTGGCCTAGGCTTGAGTGGACTACACCAATGTGCAAAGATCTACTATTAAGTGAAAAACAAAAAATATGTGCATAGTAAAGTTTTTAAACATATACCCATCCAGCCATATAAAGACATTTTTTTCCTCCCTGAGAAAAGTCCCAACCTCCCCCCAAACACACACCAGCTATTACGGGTTATCTTTGGGAAAAAAAGAGATGAGGATTGTTTTATATCTTTTTGTACACTGTACGTTTTAATCATGTGCAGGAAGTGTTCTGACTTAAAATATTCAAAATACAATTTAAAAACTAGAATCAAGGAAACTAGAATAAACAATGGCTGAGCAGGACCAGAAGGGAAGCAGCCCACCTCTCTGGAGCAGGAAGCTTTTCAAGCACTCTCCTGGAGTGCTAGAGAGCTGGCTGGAGATAGGGCGAGCTCACATTCTTGGGCTGGGGTGAGGCACCTCGTCTCTTGGAAGCTGTTGGGCCTCGTTTCTGCCAGGCAGCTCTACTGTGTGCACTGCCTTCGGGTCTCCTTGGGCAACAAATGCAATTTCCCGGGACTGTCAGCTGCACTTCCCAGGATGCTCCACTGTCCTGGCACCCGGCCCAGGGGGAGGCCGGGAGGTCTTGATGTAACTGCCTGATTGGTCGTACACAGAAGGAAAGTCTTGGTTGGGAGAAGAAAGTGGCCTGCAGCATCTGATTTTTCCTGTCAGCTGATTAGGATTTGTAGTGCCTGAACAAGGTCAAATGAGATTAGGAAGAAAATGCAGTGTGTCTGGTATGCGTTTCACATAACCGCATCACTCATGTAAACAGGATGAATAAGGGGGAAATTTTAAAGCAAATACCAAATGCCAGTCTCAAGATCCTAGGACAAGATGCCAGGGCCTATGTTATTCCAGGAGTAGAAGAAAATGTATTTATGGGTGGGTGGCATTTTGCATCCTCTGAATCTCTCATGCTTTGCTGCTTTCCTATGGCTTAAGTTAAAAAGTGAGTTTTACATCTGATTTTTGCAAGGACCAAGCACAGAATAAATAAAACCACACAAAAAGCTCGTTCCACCTTTATCACCCTTCCAGCTCTCTTATAAGAGGTATGGGGCTGCTTTCTGTAATAACTGCCTAAGTGCAATCATGCAGCCTGCCTCTCGGGACGTGGAAAGGAAATCTCATGTCTAGCACCAGCCCCAACATTTTAGATGTGGAGGACTCTGGGTAGGCCCACAATTCCATGGGTAAACAGAATAGGATTTTTCTTGGTCCTCAAAATCTATAATTTTCTTTCTTTCTCAGACCACCTCTCTGCAGTATGGCTGCATATAAGGATTTATCATGACAGAAATGGCTTTTGAAGTGGTATCATAGCTTTGGGGAAGGTATGATTTCTGCTACTTATGCTATATAGGATCTAGTAGATTGTAGATGCTTAATAAGTGGTTTCAACAGCTATTATTTCCACGGACTATTTCCTGGCATAAAGCTAAGAGCTATTCTGAGGCCAGACTTTTCCAGTAGGTAATCTCAGAGTCCTTCCCACTCTAAATAACAGTGGGGCCAAGAAGCATCATATCATCATGTCTTAGGTCTTAAAAAATATCCATGTATGTATAAAAGATAAATCTAGATCCTTGACATGGAAGTTGAAATGGAGACTGGGGGATGTTAAAATGGAATTTTTTAAAAAAATTCAACATGCAGGGAATTATGTGATGAAATATTTTAGGGAACTGAGAATTCATTATTTCTCAGTATTTGAATTGTAACACTCAAGATAGAGAAATTAGTGTAAGTCAGTAGCTAAGGATTAAGCTGTGTGTGTGTGTGTGTGTGTGTGTGTGTGTGTGTGTGTGTGTGAAAGCATGACTAGATATAGTGGAGAAATGAGAGAATAGTTGTCTTGGTACCTCTGGTGTTTAAGGTGCTTTCACACACTCGGACACATTTGATTATCACACCTCATGCTGATTCTGTGGCTCTGCAGGGACGGCGTGAATAGGAAAGTCTTACTGATCTCCTTCAGGAAAGTGTGGTTCTGGGCCCGCAGAGCTGAGCTGCACAGGAGTGGCCCCTGGCACCATGTGGTCCAAGGGTGTCAACCTGCAGTGGCGGGGCCCATGGGCGTCCATACCTCTGGTTCCCGGACACGGGGGATGAGCTCTCAGGACTTCTCCCTGCTCCAGATCCAGGGATGGTCCCCTCCCTGGGTGCTTCGTGCAGAGAAAAGTGTTCACTCTACCTTCACCGAACCCAAGCAACAGAAAGAAAGGAAGAAGGCCAGAAAGAAACAGCTCTTCCAGGTCCCTCTGTCCATCTGTATCTGAATCATCAGGTGGGCAGGCTCGTGTGTGCACGTGAAGGTGAACACACTCGCCACTCACTCATGCCTTTAAGACTCGAATGGCTGCATGAGGAGGAGGGACTCTGCAATTATCGGAAACTACTCATCACCCTCCCGTTTAGTCTCTTCAGAGACACCCCCATCCCTATCCTTCCAGTCACCTTTGTTCCAGAGTTATTTGTTTGGCTTCCCTCCTTCCCCATCCCTCCCTCCCTCCCCAGTCCTGGCAGTGGTGTGAAGACCACGCCCAAGCCCCATTGAAGAAATCATCAGTCTTGAAGCAGAGATCACGGGAGGACTCACCTAGTGCAAGGGGGACAGGCTTGTGCAGGGATGAGGAATGACAGATGCTCTCTGCAGCCCCTTCCTGGGCCTGAGCTGGGTGGCCATTACCCTGCCTGGCTTTGTAAAATGCCCTTTGTAGGGCTTGGCTCTAGGAATGGTGCAGACAGACAGACAGTCTCACTGCCACACAGAGACACCTACAGACATCTGGCTAGGATGCCAGATGACAGAACAGAAAAGGGCTCCCTTTCATCCAGCAGCCTTCTGATTCCAGAGGAGTGTCTGCAAGCCACGACCTGCTGTTTCCCTGGTGACTGAGGCCTCAAAATAAACAGGATTCTTCTCAGACGGGCTAGTAGTCCACTGGGCTCAGGCATCTGCCCCAAGACAAACCATGGTAAAATAACACGCAGGGTAGTTGTTCTTACCGTCTGCCATCTCTGCCTCTCTCTCAACTGGCCAAAGGCTCTGGGTTCCTGGGCCTGTGGCCTGGAGTTGGGGGCACGAAGAGTTCTGTCTCTCCGGCTGTGGAGGGCGGGGCAGTAAGGCAGGTCCGCTCTGCTGATGAACAGGGCAGAGACAGACCTAGAGGCCAGCACCTCGCCTGCTTCCCACACAGCCCTCGGGACTGGTAGCGGCTCTGTGGCATGGAGTCTGGAGACGAGCCAGCAACCTGATGTGCATGCCAAGGCCCGTCCCTCTCCCCACAGAGCTGCAGTAACCCAGAGGCTCAGAGAGCAGGCTCAGGGCTGCTGGGAAGCAGCCACAGCAAGGTGACGGTGACAGACAGAGCAGAGGGCACCAAGTGGATGCAGTTTCCCCTGGGACAGCTTTTCAGGTAAGAACCAAGGGGTCTGTTCTGCTGAGAGAACAGGTTATGTCGGGAGCTGAGGGAGTGTATCCGGGTGAAAATAGAAGGTTACTGGGAGAGGAAAGAAAAAACGGGACATTATGGCTGAGAAGCACGGTAAGCAGATAGTGTGGAGCTGCCTGCCCACCAGAGGCTCCCCAGGAGCTCACCTCTGGCGGAGTGGACCCCTGACCCCTGTGTGGGGGAAGGGCTTGCTAATGGCACAGACCTGCAAAAATAGCACCTCGAGTTTAGACACTGCAAAAGGAATCATGCACCGCTGTCTGCCCCATTATGTTCCTGCCCCCCAGGGCTTGCCCCAGGGACGGGAGGGAGCTAGAAGGTTCCTACTTACTACGGTGCTGGATGCAGCCCCTGCGGTCAGTGGTGCGGAAGCCACAGGCTGTGGCCGCGGTGAGTCTGGCTGACGTTATCTTGCTGTGTCACACTGACCCCCCCAGAGAAGGCTGAAAATTCAGTGCCTTGAGAGACCAGTCCACCTGGTGGGTGGCTTAGATCTTGGGAGGCTTTTGCTATAATGTCAGGCTGAATAATAGGATTATTTGAGAGTGTGAGCTCTGGGTTTTGATAGGCTGGTATTCTGATATCCCTACCCTGGGCCACCTGGTTATTCCTCACCTTTCGTCTGACCATCTTTGACTATCTCACCCTCGTCTGGGACCCCTTCCACACCACCAAGAAAGAAGGAGCCAGAATGGCGAGCCACCGGGCACACATGCTACCCACGCCCTCCCTGCTGCTGCGTACCAGAAGTACGCAGGGCTCCTACACAGAAGTACTTGGGAAATTCAGGCCTCCAGATGCTGACCTGGGAATCTCAGGCATCTGATCAAGTACCATTGTCCAGAGCCCACACCCCCATCTCAGCGCAAGAGCTCACGATGTCTCAGCAGAATTCCAGCACTTCACGTTCTCTCTGGCTGCTGCACAGGCACCCCCGCTTCCCCTCCTTCCTCTCAGCTTTCCCTTTCATTCTCTACAGGGCTGTGAGCTTCAGGGTTTAGCTCCCTAAGCCCCAGGGAGAGGACAAGAACATCGGGGCACAGGGAGAGTTAGGCTGCCTCCCTGCGGCTTTGCCTCCCTGCGGCTTTGTTACTGCCTGCCTGGCAGTAACAAAGGGGTAAAAGACAAGAGCCTTGCTTTGGGAAGTGGTGTCCAGCAAGGGGCTGGCCAGCTGTTTACCAGGACTGTTTGTATGAAGAAGTCTGGATTTTGGTGGAGACTCTGATTCACAGCCACAATTCCCTTTTCCTCTGTTTTCTTTGTGTTGGTCACTGAGGACTTCCTAGGAAAGTCCCCTTTTGAAACTGTATCTCTGACAGTGAAAGCACCGGTTTGCTGCTGAGGGCAGCTGGCTGAAGATGCAGGGAGAGTCTGGTTATCCTTGCAGTTTTTAGTAGGAGTGCATGGGTTTGCAAGTGAAGTTCCTAATCCAAGGCAAAGTTAACATACAAAATTTCGGGAAGGAAATGATGAGCTTTCTGTAAACTGTCCCCCAAACATATTTACATATGCCTTCCCTGGGTTCAAGGAGGGGTTAAGAAAGCAGAATTCTGGGGAAGTGTTTGATTTATAGGTGAGTAGCACCAACCACGAAGATAAGGCGTTCTGGAGAGATGGAGAACAGATGACCATAACCTTCATGTACACTAGCAAAGGATGTCCCATCCCTGGAGGGACAGCACGGTCCATCTCTGTGATGACATGTATTTTGAGGCTCCTGAATAAGCCCTTAAGGAGCTTGGAGCTGCCAACCCTGCTGCACCAGCAGCCAGGAACTAGGCATTGTGCAGAGTGCAAGGCACACCCACTTCCACCTCATTAAATACACATTGCTTGGCTGAAGCAGTACCCCTTGACTTACTTATTAGCCTGCTGGAAAAATAATCTATAGCCGTTTGTGCCACAGACATACCCTGCTTTCAGTAAAGAAATATCTATCTGTGGCACAGAAAGTGTGGGTGAATGAGTATTTTTCCTAGGAAAGGATTCACTAACCAGCAATTGTTCATCACGTACCCACAAAGTGACCCCTTTCACATGTGACTGGGTCCAGCCCGATCAGCCACAGAGAAGGGAGGGGACCTCTAAGGTGGGCTGGTTACAGAGATGAGCAGGTTGACAAGTTGTCCAATTCAGCTGGAAGGCGCCCAAGGTGTAGGACAAGAGCAGGTATCTGGGCCAATGGCCTGCAGAGACTGAAAGAGGGGCAGGATGAGCAATTATTTTACCTCCTGAATCATCTGTGTAAGAGAAATAGCATAACATGGTGTCTAAGTAATGGATTCTGTGGCTTTGAATTCTGACTGCCGCTTATTGGTCCTGTGATCTGCTTCATTTTCTTGACCTGTAAAGTAGGTAATAAAGTATACACTTTGACATGGAAAAGATCAAAGGAGTGACCGCCTTAGTACTGTGCCTGGCTTACAGTGAGTGCCATGTGAATAGCTGATATCGTCCTATTAAAATGTGAGCTCTACAAAGGCTGAGCATAAAGTCCAAAGTGATAGTCTACGAGTGACCATTAGTGCCACCTATTGGCAGCGTGGAGGCACTTTTTTTGGCATGGAACTTTGCATTTGGAAACCAAGAAGCTTCCATCCTGGTCACCAGTGTTTCTTGGGCCCTTCCTTTGTCTGAGCACTGGGCCAGGCTTCTAGTTTGTCAGTCCACAGAGCTGTTACAGATGCAGGACGTGAGGCTGGGGTGAGCCCTTTACCTGTGGCCTCAGGTACCAAGTAGCAGGGCCAAATTTCACACCCAGGCTGTCCAGTGAGTCTGTGCTGCTAACTGGGGGGGTCCATATTTGTTTGGAAGACAATGAGAGGTGTCCTAAGAGGCAGAAACTTGGCAACAGAAATTCAGCAATAGAGAGCCGGGCGTGGTGGCACACACCTGAAATCCCAGCACTCGGGAGGCTGAGGCAGGAGGATCATTGAGAGTTCGAGAACAGCCTGGGCTACAAAGTGAATTCAAGGCCAGCTTGAACTGCATAGTGAGACCCTGTCTCAAAAAGATAGAAAGAAGAAAGGAAGAAAGGAAGAAAGGAAGGAAGAGAGAAAGAAAGAAAGAAAGAAAGAAAGAAAGAAAGAAAGAAAGAAAGAAAGAAAGAAAGAAAGAAAGAAAGAAAAGAGAGAAAGAAAAAGAAATTCAGCAACAGATGATATGGGAAGACCCTAAGAAAGAGGCCAGGATTTGGGACTCTGCTAAAAGATGGCAGGGCCTAGTTGGGGCCGAGGGCAAAACCTTGGCCTAGCGCACCAAGGGTCTCTAGACATGAATACAGGCACCGAGGGACAAGGTGTGCCCTGGCTTTCCTGAACCATGGATGGTGCCCCAAACTAGGAAAGGGGGCTGGAGGACGCAGACCCCGGAACATCAAGCATGCTGGCCAGGACTCCCTACACCCCTTCACCCTAAGGTCAGAGGTCACCTTGAGCTAAGCCTTGGTTAGTGCTGGGTAACCCTAGTTGTGGGGAGAGGAAGGATAGATTATTCAAAACTGAACGTCTTGACACAGTACGGTTTCTAGTGATGTGAAAGATCTGACCCCTCTAAAGAGCACATTTAAAATGTAACATATAGAGATGGGGCTCACGCTTCTCTGACTCTGTCCAAGGCATGGGGTGTTACCGACAGGCAGGGCCGTGCCCCTTGCCTGAGCCCTGTGTGGATATGAGGCTTCCTCACGCGCATGCCTCATCAACGCTCCTCCAGAAACCGTGCCTGGTCCAGGGGTTTTCAGACTTTAATATGCGTAAGAATCAGAGGGAGGGCTCCACGCAGTGACTCACTGGGTTTATGAGGGACCTTAGATTCTGCTTTCCTGGGTGGGGCCGTGTCGTTCTGATGCCTGTGGGCCACAGGCCACAACTGAGGCAGCTCGAGTCTGGCTGTCACTCTGAGTCCCTTTCCTTCATTACCACTAAGGGGAGCAGAGAGCTGTGTGGGCTGAAGCAGCGTCAGTTACCTCTTGCCATCAGCTCTTCCTGAGTGACACCGGAACCACACCCTGAGCCGGTGTGTGTCAGGCAGAGTGCCGAGCCTGTCACTCCTGTTACTCACTCGTTCACTCTCGACTGCGATCCCGTACAGCATACGCTACTTTCGCCCACAGTTTGTAAGTGAGAGAAAAGGCCCTGTTGGCAGTCAGTGCCTTGAAAACTCAGGATTAGTTCATAACCAGAGCCTAACGCCTAACCACTGGGCCTGTGGTGGGGAACCCGTGGCCTGCATGTCATGTTTCTTTGAAGACAAAAGATATTAATGTATGAGTTGGTTTTTTCTAAACTAAAACCTCAGTATTCAGGTTTAATTGCAATAAATAAGTGGTTTTGGTTTGCAGTGTGGGCACCGGTCTCTAAAGGGTTTGCCATCCCTGCCCTAGGCTATTCTGAGTGGTTTTAGTCCCTGTCTGTTCAGCCATCCTTTCTTACCCGTAGGTGGGCGTCTGTCTCCAGCTCACGTTACCATCTTGTCTGCCTCACTCCCAGGTCCCCTATAATTTCTTCCGAAGATGAGCTGTCCCTGTGCTGCCCCATTTTCTCTCATCTGGTGAATCACAGAGTGCTGGAGAAATGGGCCTGTGGAGGTAGATATCACAGTCACACCCACGTGCTGAACTTAACCCCCTACCCCGAGGGCCCCAGGGCCCTATTTGGAGATTAGGGTCTCTCCAGAGATAACCGAAGGAAGGTGATGTGAGGAGACGAAGTGTGAAGGTAGCCATCCTCAAGCGAAGGAGAAAGGCCTGAAACAGATCCCTCCTCGCAACCCTAAGAAGCAACCAAATCTGCCAACACCTGGAGGCCGAACTTCCGGCATCCAGAATTGAGACAACAAATTCCTGTTGTTTTAGCCACTCAGTCTGTGGGACTCATTACAATGGCTCCAGAAAAGGCAGAAGGTAGGAAACCAGACTCTAGGTTCCCTGACTAGGCAGTGCTTTTGGGATGATCTAGTTGCAA